ATTTAGCTACCAAAACCATGTAAAACAATCTCAAAGGGGTTTGCACATATAAACTACACAGGACACAAGAGGTTAAATGCAATGAATGTTTTTCAACATACTTACAATGACATGCAAGCATGAAAACACTCCTCTGTATTCAAAAACCACATTTCTCTTACATTTCTAGCATTAATATTCTCTATTTGTACTTCAGCTATTAAAATATATATTTTGTAGAATTGCCTATGAAGGAAATAGCACTCAGAATTACCCTTAGGGATCTGATCTATAGGTGGCTCTACACACACTGTATATAAGGCATGTAAGCAGTCTTTGATATTTGATAGTCAACATTCACATCATTTAAGTTATGCATGTGTGTAACTCCCTTGCTGTACACGCTGTTTTGATCTCAGTTCCAAATACCAATAGGAGCAAATCAATAGCACAGCACTTTATCTAAGTATTCCACACATCTACAGCATCTTTCATCAAAGAATCTCAGACCAAAAAAAAACCCTTTGCAGTCATATTTGTAAAAATACAAATATAAATATATGCTAATGTGAAATAAGATAAGATTTCCCCAAAGGTGCTAAATATTTGGAAAGAAAATATTTTTGCCCTTTTCAACATTGCCCCATCTATTATACGGCCTCAAGCTCTATGTTCCCTATGACACTATATTGACTTGGAAACCACTGTTGCCACAGAGCAGATACTTCAAGGCAGCTGCTGTGCAACAAAGATTGAAATAGCAAAAATGTAAGTCAGTCTAAAAGGACAATTGGGAGGGTTGATCAGCCCTCAGACTCAGGCAACAACTAGAAAACTGTGAAGAGCATAAAATAAAATTGGCACATGATTATTTTTTCTAGTGATCAATCAGAACTGAAATAAAATATCTGGAAAAATATAAGCATGTTTTCCATGAAACCTAAGACTTCTTGTGCAAATTGCTACAAATAGCATCAGACATGAAAGATAAAAACTGAAATTCTATCCTTTGGGGGGCTTCCTATTCTCTTTTGATAGGCAAGGAACCTGTGTCTATTTCTGTAAACAGTGACTTCTATCATTTGAGACAATTATTGGTGACTTCAGGAGAGCCAAGACTGCTTATCCTTCTTGAACAAAAAATCTGTCTAAAGGGAACTGGCATTCCACTTCCTTCCTTACAGCTCTGGATGTTCATTTTATGGCTTGCCACCACTTGAAGTAAAAACTTATATATCTGGATAAAATTAGTGAAATACAATCCTGTAAACACAAGGTTCTGGTTAAAGGCCTGCACGACTGCTCAGAATGCTACAGATACCATGTTGGCTTCAAGAAGGGCTCTCAGATTTGTAATATTTTTAACTTTATGTTGTCTTTTAGAGATCTTGCACCTCCACAGTATATTGTGGGGGTTTTGTAATTTTGCTTTTATAATTTGCTTTAACTTGCAAAATATTCTTCAATTGCATGCATTTCCCTTTAAAACACTAGTGAACCTTGATGCTTGTCAGTAAAAGGCAAATTTGTCTTATGTTGCCTACATTAAAAATAAAATGCTTCAAGAATTTTGAAAAAAAGGACAATTTCTCAGCTATACCCCATCTACAGAAGACTCAACTGCAATTTTAAATTAAGGAATTTTATTCTTTCACAAATTTTTCTACAAAAGATTTTCAGAATGATATCTACCATTCCCATAACTTAATGTTCTCTAAAAATCCTATTATGGGTTTCAGTCATAGAAACAGATGAATTTTTCCCCCAGCAGTGAAATTGTCAGGTGCATTTCACGACTGTAATTTGATTCCAATTTGTACATATCTTCTTTCTTCAATAAAAAAAGGAAAAAAACCCACTTTTCTTTTCAACCATATGATTGGCATATTTACTGCATAATTGCAAACTACAACTGTGGTTTCAGATGTTATACCCCTGCACAGAAATGATAGATTAGCCTGCTTTTACTTGCTTTGAGGTAAATGCTGCCTCTGTCCCTTTTTATCCAGAAAAAAACTGCAAAAATGTTCTTCCAACATGTGTGAATTTACATTTTACTCACTTCTAATGTTTATGTATGAGCATGCATATATATGCACAGCAACTAAAATATTATATTGATTAAATACAAAATGTATAATGGAATGGAACTGAAGATAAATTATATATTGACAAAGTTTAGCTGCAATCACAAAGTGCTTCACTGCATGTTATTAACAAATGAATATTAAAAAAATGTAAACATCCAAATCCCGTTTTTCTTGACTCATGGTAAAACATAATATAAATATATAAGAATGTGAAATATGCTCTTCCTTCCATATCATTGTCTAAGAAAACAGAAAAAAAAAGGAGAAATAGCAGTAGCAAGTTCAGTACAACCAAGATGCCAATAATCTGATGGGCTTCTGGAAAAATTACCAGCGGCTATCAACAAATCAAGAATCTTTTGACTCCATAGGGACTGTGGAAAGCATGAGAACATCTGAAACATTTCATGTTCAAGTGCAGCCAAAAGCGGCTTCAAAGTGCTTTTTGGATTGTAACATCTCACCATGATATACAACGGATATGATGACACTGAAGTCTGCATCCACCCAAGTCCATCCATCAAATATAATTTATTCTGGATTGATCAAGTGAAATATCCCTAGCATAGTGAGGGAAATGGACTTCACAGCAAGAACAGAACCAAAAATTGGCACGTTCCTTCACAGAATAAGCTAATAACGATGAACAAGTTTAAATGGGGAAACACTGTCTGGACAACAAAGAAGGTACTGGGTACAACTGATTGTGCGTGTAGGTGAAGACATACAAAATCACAATGTCAAGAAGGAAGGGGAAAATAGTTCTGAAGGCTGTTATGGTGTTGGGGATGTCATACTTACCTATCCTCAGAACTCATGTGCAGTGTGATTAGCCACGGAACTAAAAATAACTTATTTTGTTCCTTATAGAAAAGGCAAACAAGAGGTGGGGTATTTATGAATGAATGCATGAAGACCTGAGACTGGAATTCAGAATATGTTACACTGAAAAAAACCAGAAAAATGGGAATGCTGCAGAATAAGCTGCCATTAACGCATTTGTGTAGAACTACTGCAAGAAAAAATCAGACTCTAAGATGATTGTGGATAATAGAGGAGCCTAGCTTAAGAAGAAAATCATTTTTGGGCATCTAATAATAATGAAGTGATGCTGACTCATAGTACAAACTTGGAAGTCCTGAAAAGAGACAACAGACAAATATATGTCAGCAAGAGACAGCAGACAAATATATGTCTTCAGTCAGGAATTAGGTAATGAAATACTTTCCAAGAAAAGAAAATACAAGACCTGCTAAAAAGAGCATAAACTGTTTAATATAGTTGCTGAGCCAATAGATTAAAAAAAAAAAATTTCCACATGCTAAACTGTCCTGAAGACAATGAAACCAACACTTGTTGGGAGGAAGGCAGTTCAATTTCTAGCTAATTCCTTCTCTGGTGAAAAGTCTCCATTCCAAAAGCTTGACACCTCTGCATGTAAGGTGTCTGTGCTGTGCATGACTTTCCTGCTACTGCAGGTATCAAGAATACCTGTGGAGTCTTGCCTTTGCTAGGAGGGATCACTTCAGTCCTATTGTATGACTCCTACTTATGATGCTTCTGCAAGCCTGTATGATCATTTTACTCCAGTCCACAGCTGGCACTGGCAAAGCAGCCCAGCTGGCACATAAACTTTCATGCTTACTCCTCAGAATGGTCTCTGTATGTGTTTTTCTTAGGTTCCTCTTAACACAACTAAGAGAAACCTGAAAAGCTGTAAATAAGCTATCTTCTCAAAGATATAAAGGCATTTTGCAGACTCTAAAGATTTTGATCATTTTTGGATAGCCTGCATAGACTGTATTTTTCCTAAAATAACACCAAAGAGGCAAGGGCCAGGTCCCTGAGTACCCCCACCTTTAAGCTTGGATGACTGAGTTAGGGAGTCCAACTTGTCAAGTACAAATACAGCTCTTCCACTAGTAAGAGCTGCTATGAAAAAGCTAGAAGCAGCCCTCTTCTCAACCCTGCTTTCCTTGTTTTGCTTTGGGAGCTACTTTTAAGCAGACTTTACTGTTGGCCTCCTATGTCTGCACCTGGTCTGATGCCTCCCTGACCTTGACGACCCGCACTCACTGGCTCAGCTTCCTGGCTTGCCCTGGCACCTGACACCTCACTAAGATCTTGATAGGTGATCACCAGGCTGTGCCTTGGGAATGTTCCAAATATGTCTGAGCCATAACTGCTTACACCATGAGCTGGAACATCCCAGATCCTTGCAGTGAATTTACGACCACTGAGTTTTACCTGTGGGTGCTGGTTCATAGTGGCTGAACATGAGCCAGGCGGCCAAGAAGGCCAATGGCATGTTGGCTTGTATCAGAAATAGTGTGTGGTAGTCTTGCTATTCTTGGCAAAGGTGAGGCCACCTCTAGAGTGCCGTGTCCAGTTTTGGACCCCTGACTTCAAAAAAGACATTGAGGTACTGGAGTGAGTCCAGAGAAGGGCAAAGAGGCTGGAGAAGGGTTTGGACCACAAGCCCTGTGAGAAGTAGCTGAGGGAGCTGAGGCTGCTTAGCCTGGAGAAAAGGAGGCTCAGGGGAGGCCCTGTCACTCTCCACACAGCCTGAAAAGAGGCCGGACTCAGGTGGGAATCAGCCTCTTCTCCCAGGCAGCAAGGGACAGAACAGGAAATTGCCTCAAGTTGCACCAGGGGAAGTTTATGTTGGATATTAAAAAAAAAAAAAAAAAATATTCACTGAAAGGGCTGACATTAAAACAGGATGCCCAGGGAAGTAGTGGAGTCGCGATCCCGGGAAGTGTTCCAAAGGTGTGTGGATGGATGTAACACTTGGGAAATGTAGTTAAACAGTAAATACGGTCATGCTGTATTAACTATTTAACTCGATGACTTAAGAGGTGTTCCAATCTTAACAATTCCAATATGACCCTATTCCAATCTCCCCCTCCTCGAATGAAGGGAAACAATCACCACATTTCAGCAGGTGTTCCCAGCCAGCCTCTTGAGCTCTCCGAAGGCCGAGCGTTCCGTCTGCTTTTCCCTCGGCGCCCCTGGCGCTGCGTTTCCCGCCCCACCGAGCGGATCCCGGCCCCGCTCCGCGGCTCCCCCCGCGCCCGGCGGGACAGGACGGGGCGGGGCGCGGCTCCCCCGCCCCTCAGCGCGGCCCGCCCCGAGCGCCCAGCGTGCCGGGCATTTAAAGGGCCCATGGCGGCCATGCCCGGGCAGCGCCTCTGCCTGCCCGCCACAGCCGTGCCGCGCTGCCCCGGCCGCTCCCTCGCCGCGGTCCGGGCGTTCCCGCGGGGCTGCCGGGCCCGGGGAGCTCCTGCGGGGGCTCGCGTAGCGCGGGGGGGGCGAGCGGTAGGGCCCGGTGTGCGCCGGGGGCAGGCGAGCGGGCGGGCGCTGGATTCTTTGGATCGCGGACGTCGTGGGCGAATAAAACAGGCGGGCGGGCGGTTGCGCTGTTCCTGCCGCGGGGGGCGCGGAGCGGAGCCGCCGCCGGGCCCGGCGGAGATGGAGCACGGCAGCCGCGGCGCCGCGCCCGGCGGCGTGTCGGTGTCGGCCGTGCTGCCGGCGGGCGGGAGCGGCGAGCGCCTGGGCGGTGCCACCCCCAAACAGTTCTGCGCCGTGCAGGGGAGGCCGCTCGTCAGCTACGCGGTGCTGGCCATGGAGAGGTAACGAGCCCGGCGCCGCTCGGCTTCCGACCGCGCCCCGCGGGCTCCTGCCGGCCCCGGCCGGTCCCGGAGAGCCGCAGGCAGCCGCCGCTGCCCTCGCCTCAGGCCCTGGGCGCCAGGGCGTGTTTGGTTTGCCTTGCGGGGACTCTCCGTCGCTCCCCGCTCGGTCACACCGGGAAGGGAACGAGGTGTGTCTGGGCACCCTCACCTGGGAAGAAGTCCCGGGCGGGACCTGGGCGCTTCCCCCACCCTAGCCTGGCTCTAGCGCCGCCATCCCGGTTGGCTCCTCTGCCTTCCTTCCCCAGCCCTGTCCATGCCTCGAGGCCGTGCCGCATTCCTTGGCTCGTTTGAGGCCACTCGGCCTCGAAGCTCGAGGGTTTGTGTAGCTGCGGTGGCTGCTTTGGTGAGCTGTGAGCTCACTGCAGCTGTTGGAGACAGTCATTGGCCTTTCCATCAGCCCTGAAAAGTTATCTCTTCTGCCACTGGAGATGGTCTTTGTAATGTCCAAAAGCATTGAATAATGATCCACTCCTCATGTTGGGATGAATGAACTCACTGATACACAGGACTGCATTATGGTCCACTGTTGCCCATGGTAAAACACTTTGCATCAGCAGGAAATTTGAAGGAAAAATGTTTAAGTGATAGTTGCTGAACTAGAAGCTGATTGCTTATGTAGTGTGAAGGTGCAAATGTATCTTTTCTATGTTGTAGTGCTACCTCAAGGAGTAATGGGTAAAAATTGAAAGATGGGAAATTTAGGTTAGGTGTTAGGAAGAAATTATTTACTGTTAGGGTGGTGAGGAGCTGAAACAGGTTTCCCCAGGAGAACCCACGTAGCATTCAAGGTTAGGTTGGATAAGGCCTTGAGCAATCTGGTCTACTGGGAAGTATCCCTGCCCATGGCAGGGAGAGTTGGGCTAAATGATCTCTAGGGTGCCTTCCAACCCTTAACATTCTATAATTCTGTGTTGGAGCAAAGGACTAAAGTAATGGGATTTCTTAGCAGCCAGGTTTTCCCTTTCCATAAGGCTGTTGAGTTCTAGGCATGTGACTAAGATATATTATTGTCAAATGTTAGCATAGTGTAAGTCTTGAAACACAGCAGGTTGGAGCAGAGTGTCAAGGGGAATTCTGGATGTGTTGCAGTAACCTGTAGGAAAACAAACCTTTGTATTTTTAGAAAGAATAAATAGGGAGGAGTGGAGATTAGTGAAAGAAATAAAATTGCCAACATCTCCCAAAGTTTTTAACACATTGTACAAAATTATGACTCTTTTTCCATTCCCACCCAGGGAGGCTTCCCTCAGGTCACTTGTTACTTTATGAAAGAAATACTGCTTATTTTCTTTATTTAATTTTCAACAGCAGCCAGTTGCAAAGCTAAGCACATCAGTAAGCAAAGCGTCCAATCCAAAGCTTGCCACAGCTGTAATTGTTGCCAAAATGTCATGGGAATCTACAGAGATGAATTATATCCTCACTCAGTGTATTGGAGACCTGGAAAAGAGAAGAGAGTGAGGTTTGGGAAGGAATTGTTATGCCTCTAAAAAAAAAAAATCTTTATTTTTACTGCCAGTAAGCTCTGAGAAAATAGCTGTACTTTGAGTGCCAGTATTGTATTTGTCACAAAGATGCAAAAAATTAGGTTGATTTCTTGTGCGGTTCAGCCAAGTTGATTGTGACAGTAACAATTTGGTGCTTTTGCTTAGGAGCTCGATTACCCTGCCAGTGCTCTGTCAGGCAGAGCTTCCTGTGTTGATTGGTATAGATGTGTATGAGGAGCTGGGAACAGATGTACTCCAAAGCTTGGGGTGGCTATCATTTCATCTCAACACTTTTACTTCTGGCTCTGAAACTGTGAAGGATGTACCTTGTTCTTACTTTGTGCCTGTGTAAGCATAAGCATGTAATATTGAGGAACTGCAGTTTATCACATAATCTACCCAAAATTGGCAGATTTTGTGTTTAGCTTGATGCTTTATCATATGTCTGATGTTTACCTTATGTAACTGAATGGGTCATTGACTCATTGACCCTGAAATAACTTCTGTTGAACTGGACATCTTGGCTGGTGTGACTATTTTGGAGCTTTTTTAAATCTAGAAAAAAGGTAGCAGTGTATAGACAAAAATACATGAGCAGTTCAAGGATATGCAGTTGCTTTGCAAATGCTTTTTGAAGATCAGCAGAAGAAGATTTTTGTGCTGTTCAGCTGAAAGTAGTGAGACTCTTAAATATCAATGTGGAAAAATGGGCAGATGAGACAAGAGCAGACATGAGAATAAGCAGTGCATCCAATTGTATAGGATAACAGCATGTAGAACACTGGCCTGCCATTAGGTGATACTCTGAGGAAGAGGAGATTAACAAAACTAGAGTAAGGAGAAATTGTTGGTTTTAATTGCCACTGCAGTGGCTCTGATAGGAAGGTCTAAGGTCTTCAGGCTAAAATTAAAGCGTGTTAGAAACCTTAAATGTCTCTTTTTTCCATTGAATTTGTTCCAGCTTTTGTTGAGCTATGCAAGGCTTTTGCAACAAGTTCAACTGATTTAGAATGGCATTCCTTGTTTTTGCTTCTGTAACAACTACCAGAGTTTTTCCTTCATTTGATTTCTTTTTGGTGTAAGGTTTGTTAGAATAGAACCTTTTCAATTCTTTTTCTCATGCAGGGAGGAATCTTAGCTCTGTATGCACATGTGCATGCATATTTTACTGATATATTGAGAGGAAAACAAACTAAGGTAAAGATTGATTTTAAAATAGTTTTGGAAAAAATATGCTGCTGCTATTCTTGCTGTGCTCATATTTCACCAGTTGTTGCAAGTACAATGACTGGTTATAAAAGAGGAAAGCAGAGTTGATATTTTCACTGTCAGAATTAAATTTTTCCATAAAGGTTTCAGAGATCTTTGTTTTCTTTATTGTAGTATCTTAAAACAGGGGGTGGTCTCTTAAAATCCCCTGGGGAAGCTCTCAAAGAAGCTCCTCTTTGGAAGTGTCTTGCATAGTTATTTGCCAAGTATTTTTTCTGGTGACTGATGCATATTCACTGGCTCTATAGGTCACACAATTACAGTTTCATTAAATGGATCTACTCTGATACTACTTTTTGTCCAGTTGTCATTAGCTATTTTTTAAATAACTTATGAGCAAAAAATACTTACAGAAAATTTTATGGAGGTTTCTTTTTTATCGTGTCTTACTCATAAGGAGCATTTTATTTCTGTAAAAATTTGAGTGGTTTCTGTACATTAGATCCTCCAAACTTTCTTAATATATCGTAAAAGCTTCCTGCTACCATTTTTGTACTGTAAGAGATACATTTGTATTAATATGTTTTTCCATATATCAATAAATTAATAACAAAGCTTTTATGGAGCAGAAGGAAGTTACACTTGCATTCAGCAAATGGATTTTGTTCCGGATGCTTTTTGTTCTCATTTGGTTTTTAATAAGGTTAGCAAAAGTAATATTATGATTTATCTTGCAGCTCTGAAAGTTTGTGATGGTGAAAGATCACGTCTAACACTGCTAAAGCCATCTCAGCAGTGACTCTGGTTCTGGCCTTGTTTTGCTGGTCTCAGTAGGTTATATTGAATAGTTTTTTAGTGGCTGAGTAAGAGTTGCAAGAGATTGAATGTGGGTATTTGAGCCTTATATCGAATTTCAGTACTGGTTTCTGTGTGAGTCAAGTGGTGGAGGGTTAAATCTGGGTCACATTTGTACCTCAGCATGCCATTTAGGTGATGCCGTTTCAAAGTGGGATTGTTTCATTTCCTCTGCAGCTTGTGTTTTGAAGGAATAGTTTAATCTGTTGCAGAGTTAATGAGCTCCCTGCATTCAGTTCTAGCTCAGCTACTGTGTTTGCACTTCTGTTTGAAATTTACTGGAACAATACTATGTTTTCCTAGGCAGCAAGTCTATAGGTAGGTGATGATGAGGAGGATAGCTGCAAGAAAGGAACATATAGTCCTTTCTGCCTCATTGTTTGCTTTCTGCTAGTGTTGCAGTCCTCCCAAGGCAGTTGTAAAGTGATTGTAAATGGGCATTTGGTCAGACTTGATTTTCCACTTTGGAACCACAGCCTGTGTTGTATGGAAGCATTAAAGTTGTGTGTTGTTAAAGCACATTGGAGGGTACAGCATTGTGATCTTTTTCATGGGTCATGATGATTCTTTCTGAAGCTTGATCCAATATTACAGTTATGAAATTGAAATGGTGTTTGAAATGGTGGTTTTAAACTGGATTTGAGCAGTAGACTGGAAAATCCAGTAAACTGGAATCTACACAATCCTGAGTAGATTATTATTTTAGTATGAAATCTTTCCAAAGGAAAAGATGTGATAAATTAAGGGAGGGGGAAAAGATTCATTTATGTCCAGATTGAGTGTATACTACTTCTTTCTACTTCTTTAAAACATTTTGCAACATTTCCATACGCAGATCTTCAGAAGAGTAATGCACAGCTCTCATTCATTAAAATTTGTAG